CACACTCTTAACATTCTGACATGTTGATGGCCCGTGTTCTTCCCGGATCAAAGCCGAGTGTCAGAAGACAGCGTTGCGCAGCTGACTTAAAACACAGCGTTTCATGTTTGGCAGGAATTACCGTCGTGAAAAAAAGACAAGGTGACTTTCTAATATATATGTATTTTAGTTGGGCAGAGATCTGAAGAGCTAAAAACGAATTTAGGATGACACAAACGCTCTTCTCTCTCTCTCGGTCTCCTGTCTCCCTTCCCAGCCACGCGAGGGGTTTTTGTCAGTAAGTCCGTGAGTGTTACGTGTTGTTTTTAACTGGGGGTGGTAGCCTGAGGTCAGTGTCATGCTGAACTGTAGTGCTGACTCTCCCCTTAAAATTTCTAGGATCATCTAGATTTAAACAGCAAAGTCATACATCCAAAGCATCTTTCCTCCTTGCTGTGCGGGAGCTATGCAGAAACTCGGTGCCTTGTAAGGAAACTAGGTGTACCGAAAATGACCCTAGGACAAGAAAGTGATGACGTCATTCAGAGACCCGGACTGTTACAACCGGGGCAGCAGGCCCTGAGTGATCTTGAACAGGCAAAGGTTCTGCCCAGGAAGTTGGGGTGACTGAAGTTTGAGGACAAGGGATCTGGGATAAAGCTGCTAGACAATTCCCCTCTATCCGAGTTGGGGTGTCGTTTCAAGCCGTCTGTTAGGATGGGGACCCTCACCCTGCAGAAAGGGGAAAAGGGGCTGGCTTTTGCCAGTTCGGGGTGTGGATCAGGAGGGCAGATGTGATTGTTCATCGTGAAATGAGACTGCAATGTCAGAAAGTGTCGGTCACCTGCCCACCCACAGCAGACACCTGGTTGGACTCCGCCAGTTTGAAAACGTGTGTTTGTGTTTTTTTTGTGTGTGTGTAGAGGTGAAAACAGTCCGAGAAAAGAATCTTAGAAAAATTACAGTAATATAATCAGACAGGGGTTAGCGAATTGTGGCCCATGGGCCACAACCTGTCTGCCGCCTGGCTTTTGTTTGCGTGTTAATAGCACCTGAGGTAATCAGGTATCATTTTATACTTGGAATGGCTGGGAAGAAAATATCAAAAGGAGAGTATTGGATGACACATGGAACATACGTAAAATTCGAGTTCCAGCGCCCACAGCGGAAGTCCCTCGGAGTACCACCATGGCCGTGTGTTGATGTATTCATTAGCTTTTGCTTAACAACGCTTAGTTGTGACAGACTGCGCGGCCTGCAAAGCCAAAAGCGTTGACTCTTGGCTCTTTACGGCGACAATCTGCTGAGCTCCGGCACAGAGGGTCTGGGGAGTGGGCTAGGAGACCGAGGCGGAGAGACGGCTCTGTCCACCGTGAGAAGGTGATTCGGGAGAGGAGCCTATTACTCTCCCTTCTGCTGAGGACGAAATTAGAAAAAGTGAATTGATGCCCTGGCCGGTTTGGCCCAGCGGTTAGAGCACCTGTCCGCAGACCAGTAAGTCGCGGGTTCAATTCCGGCCAAGGGCTCGTCCCCAGCCCTGGTTGGGGTCGTGTGAGAGGCAACCACTCGATGTGTCCCTCTCACGTTGATCACCTCCCCCAACTCTATCTGAAGATAAACAGAAAAATATCCTCAAGTGAGGATTAAAAAAAAAAAGTGAATTGAAGCTACAAAAAAGGACCATGTAGGTTTCATGCAGTATTTGGAGGACACGGCTAACTGTAAACGTTAGGAGAGCGTGGTCAGGGCAGAGATGCTCGTCTGGACACCAGGTAACCAAGGGCCTATCTCTGCCCTGCAACTGACTGGCCATGTGACTTTAGCCCCTCTGGGCCTCAGCATCAACTCCTGTCAATGACAGTCATCTGCCCATTTTATTTTCTGCTAGAGTGTATGTTGGGGGCTGGGGTGATGGTTCGACTTTCATAATTATATAAACATGCTTTGAATGGAAAAGCTCAAATGGGCAAGTTTCTAACCAGTGACTGTTATGCACACTGTACGGACAGACACAGTAGTCGGCATAACACAGGCGAGAAGCTCGACACAGCTCACAGGACTCAGAAACGTAGGGGTCTGAGGGATTCTGGTGGTGCAGGCAAGGAGAGTCCTTGAGCTACCCAAGGATGTAGGAGCACTTCTTTCTCTTGTTTGTTAATCCTCACCCAAAGATATTTTCTCCACTGATTTTTAGAGAGACTGGAGGGGATGAGGGAAGGGGAAGAGAGGGAGAGAGAGAGAAACATCGATGTGAGAGAGACACATCGATTAGTTGCCTCCTGCGTATGCCCTGACCAGGGCTGGGGATGGAACCTGCAACCCAGGTATGTGCCCTTGCCCAGGAGTCGAACCCACAACCCTTCATTACTAGGGCCGATGCTCTGCCCCAAATGGTCCCTGAGTGGTCGACGCGGGGATACTCCGTCCCAGGGCTCTGCGCACAGGGAGAACGCCACACGGAAGACTCGAAGGGAAGAGTGTATCATGAGACCGCCGAGCCCAGCTGTAAGATCAGAAATGGGGGGCCTTCCCTGACTTCTCCCCACGTGCAGCTGACACCACTCTGCTGGGACACCCACCCACATGCTGGATCTGTGGGGAACGCGTCATGGGGCTGAGCTATTCCAGATGACTCATTTCTGGAGACTCTTCTTGATGGGTTTGAACATGAGAGAAGGGCCCTTTGACTCACTGCAAGTCTGAGCCCAGTGCCCATCCACAAATGTCCTCAGCTGAGGCCTTTATGTCAGGACCTGTCACGTTCTGGTGGAACACGAAGTCCCGTAGGATCCAGGCTGGGCTCAGGTCTTCAGCATGCTGGCTTCCCCCCAGGAGGCCTTGGCTTCCGTGTCTCCTCCCTCCCCCCCCGGTGGCTTGTTTCTGGGGAGGCACGACCCCTCGGCGCTCCCAACAGCACTTTTCTCTGCGCTTGCCATGCACTGTTTACGCCCCCGAAGCTTTGTCATTAATAATACACTGCTTTTCATCTTCAAAGTGATTTATACACATTAATTAATCCTCACCATACTTGGGAGTTGCTGCGCGTAAATCACAGCATGTTCCCACGTCTTTCTGAAGAAACCGAGACCCAGAAGGAAGGCCGTTGGGTTAAGGCGAAGGAGAAAGGGAGCTCTGGGGTCGAGGTCAGAACTCAGGATCTTGACCCCCCACCACGCTTACGGACCTGTCACCCCCTGTGGGGAGTCGCCGAGAGCAGTCCCGTGTCTCCACGCTCTCCATTACTGCTGGGTAAATGGACTCATGACGTCACTCATTCTGAGTCATCAGCTATTCTTCAATACTCCAGGGTCAAAGCATAATCTGACCTAAAGCATGATTATAACCTAATAAACCATCCAAAGATGCTCAGGTCCAGCTTCCAATGGCCGCAAGGCTGAGGATACACAGGTGTCCTAACCCTTCATTTACACGTTACATACCCGGTTAGAGCATTCGGCTCTCCCTCTGCGGTTCCCCATGCATGTGGCGGCCCTACAGAAAACCATCACAGTGTAACCATCGGCCCAACACACCAGGCGGCGGCCCTCTATGTCTCTCTGCCAGGGAGGGCGGAGCACCGAGGCGGGTGTCGGGGAAGGCCGGCAGCGCCCCCCAGCTCCGCAGAACGTAGCCTGGGCAGTGAGCTCAGGGGCCCTTGCCGAAGACGTTTCTGACCCAAAGCCGAACCATGCAAAGACCCCGAAGGCAACCGAAGACAATTCACTTTGCTTCCACGGAGCCCCCCTGAACAGTTATCTGGGGAAGCCCACCAAACGACCTTGAACAACACAGAACTTCTACAGAAGTGATTGTGGGAGCAACAAATGCCCTTCCCCCGCCCTCACGGTCCCAGCCTTCAGGAGGCAGGCGAGTAGCAGACATGACTGAAACGGGGGTGCGTGGGTGTCCGAGGTGTCTGCAAAGCCTTTCCCGGGGGTGCCAGCCTTCTCACTTTTGGAGGGTATTCCTGAGATGCCACTGGTAAGGAATGTGAAACTTATTTTTCCACATTAAGATGAGCACAGGATACTAGGGGAGAGAGTGAAAACTTCCCATCAGATTTTGGCTAGGAACAGTCTGCCCTGCTCAGGGCCCAGGATCTCTGGGGGTGCACGGTCACCAGGCAAGCTTGGGTAGAATGGTCTGGGAACCCCTGGACCAGCCCTGCTCTGGCAGGCACCACGGGGGCTGCTCGAGGATGAGGGAAGTGTGGGAGTCCCACTCCCGAGGGCGAAGGGGCAGAGCCAGAATGATCAGGGTTGCCCTTCCCCCTCTTCACGGGAGGGGTTTCTACATGCGTGTTGAAAGCTGTTTGGGAGTTGGCCTTTTTCGCTGGTATTTTCTAGGATGCCAACATGCTTGGCATGGGAAGAAAGATACCCCAGCAACTTCACCGATCGGCTACCCTAAGTCATTCCCCGAGTCCCCAAAGCGCGGCCTGGGTGGTGAGCCTGGCTCAGGTCCAGGGGCACGTGGCGAGATTCCTGGTCAGGCTGACGGGACAGAGGCCAAGGAGGGGTGTGGGCAAGCTCCTCCGTCTGGGTGACTCGACTCTGTGCAAGGACCTGGCTGCGAGCTCAGGCCTCTCAATGCCATCTCTGTGCCACAGCTCGGACGCTAAGCGAGGTGCGCCCGCTTTCCTACCATTCAGGTGCCCCAGCCTTGCCAGCCACCATTCTGCTTCGATTTGGTTCTTGGTTGAGGTTACCCAGAGTTCATGGACTTCAGAGCTGGGGATGGTGGAGGCCAAAAGGCTACGTCGGGAGTGAGGGGTGGGTTTGCAGGAACGACAGTTCTCAGCTGATCGCCAAGAAAGAGCACAGCAAGGAGGCCTAATTTCGCATCAGCGATGTCGCTTAGGATCACGAAGGAGAAACTCATCAGATGGAATCGGATTTCAGGAGGAGGAAAAGTCATGCCCGTCCATCACTCCTTATGTCTTTCAGGAGCCAAGGAGCAAACGGTGCGGACAACAGAGCCCCCTCCCCCCCCCAGGCGGCGGCCGGGCGGCCCTGACTCACCTATGAAATAGGCCAGCAGGATGGCCAGGAGCAGGGCGGCGCCGATGGCGGACAGCGCGGCGCATTTCCAGCTGCAGTACTTGGAGGGCTTCTTCAGCTTGAAGGCCTTCCTGGAGAAGGTGTTCCGGGGCAGCAGGCGGGGCGGCGGCGTGTACACGGTTCCTGAGGTCAGAGGGTATCCCGGAGAGGAGCTGCTAAACAGGGGCGTGCTTCCGGAGGAGGTCTTAAAGAGAAAGTGCCTGCCAGGAGAAGGGAGACAGTCAGGTCCCGAGGGCGGCGCCTCCGCTTTGTGTCCCAGGGCAGCCCTGGCCCGCCACCCCACCCTGCCCGGCGTGGCCAGGGGCGCAGCGTGACACGCGGTGGTGACATTCCTGATTCCCAAGAGGCTCTCACCTGTGCGTCTGGGTTTTAGCGTCCACAACGGCCCTGCTCAACAGTCCAAGCAAATACGGAAACTGAGTTACTGCTGGTTCCCCGGAGGTGAGGACCGTGATGATGGATCGGAAGCTACTATGTAAAGGCACCTGACATATATTGTCACAGCTGCTTGGGAATACGTATTGCAATATGCCCGTTTGAGAGACGAGAAATCAGGCTTGGAGAAATTCAGTATCATTCAAGGATTTAGACTCCTGAGCTCTCTCATGCTGGGGTCAGTGCTCCGAAGTGTGACTCTAACCTGCGTTTCTGGGGTCTTCTTCCTAAGCTGTTTCCCCCTCCCCGCTGCTTCCTGTTCTGAGACCTTCTCTCTAGGTCACGGGGTCATGGTTCTTTCTTTGGAAACATCTTTGCCCTTGGTGGCTGGGTAACAGGGAAATGGGGTCCACTGCGGACACCTTCCTCAGGGTCCGGAGACAGTTGCCCCAAGGACACTTCAAGGACCACCAACTCTCAGAGCAGAGATATTCTCTCATGGGTCAAATGTGACTTGCCAAACCTTTTTAAAATGATGGCCTGTCTTCTAATACACACTAGGGGACTTCAAAGCATGGGCTAAGTAGAGTCTAGAGTTTGAGCAGCGGAAAGCCAGGGGTTGTGTCTCCCTCTGTCACTTGTTCATCTTCATGTACCCAACTCTAAGTGTGGCACGCAGGGGAGACATGAGTGAGTGAGCGAGCGAGTGAGCGAATGAGTGAATGGATGGAGTTCCTGCACCATGTTTTGTGATTTTTACTCAGTGTCAATTCTAAGATTCCAAAATGTTTTACGGGTGTTTCGGTTCTCTTCAAGTCTTCGGTAGGTACAGCTGTATTTATGGACCACAAACTCTGTGTCAGTTACAGTGCTGACTGTTTTACTTGCAACGAAACCTCACATCAACCCTGTGAGGTAGGTGCTATTATTACCGCAGTTAGCCAGCTGGGTCCTTATGGCTCAAACTCCAATCTGCCTGACTCTCAAAGCTCTAACTGGACCTGCTGTACCATACTGCCCTGCATAGGGAGGTGCATCGTGGCTGCTTTGAGACAAAACCTTGAAAGTATTTTAATCCTTGATGAAGATCAAACAAGCCTGATATGACAAACAATCATGTCGGAAAAATGGGTATCTGGTTAGTGCATTATTTAACAGAGCTGCCATTAAAATAAACAACTGATATTTAAACTTTATTTGTACCATAACTATGTTTGATGACCTGCATGAAGCCAAGCGGTTTGATTCCATAAATAAGACTTTGTATCCCTGTCCAGCAGCTCTCTGCAGCTCCAGGTGAAAATGTGTCTTTGGGGGAGGAGGCTGCAGGTGTTTACAGGCAGAATTTTGGGGCAACGTCCACCTGGCCTGGGGTCCTGGCCGTGCCACTCTGGACAAGAGGGCCCATGGAAGTCTCCCAGGGTGCTCTGGTGAGCCTCGGTCGCCTCATCTGTAAAGTGGGCGCAGAACACCACAGGCACCTCCTGTCCTGGCCCAGGCTGTCGTGAGGATGACCTATGATCATGGGGGGACAGCACTGAACCAAGGCTGTGCCTCCACGTACGTGCTCAACGCACCAGGGGTGACGTTTACTATCAGCTCCTCGGAGCAACATAAAGACCCTGAAACTTGAGTTTTAATTTAAAGCTTGACGAAGAATGGCTAACACACATGCGAAGTGTCCTCCAAATCGCTAGCTGGTAGTCCACTGTCTCCTAGTTACGTCAGAACACAGGCAACCCCAGAAAGCCAGGCAAGGGGACAGCGCTGGGACTCGATTTAGAGCTACTTCCAATGTATTTCTCGGACAATCCTCCAAGAGCAGGTAGTGAAAGTAGGAAGTCAAATCGAACACAAAAGCCAGCCTGTCCTGGCTTAGAATCCCTGCGGACCCTCTAGTGCCCGAGAGAAAACCCAGTGTCAGTATGGGACCAGATTCCTTATCACCACAGCTCCCCCCCGTTTTGAACCCCCTTCTCACTTTCTGCTCCCAGGTCCCACGAACCCTACACTTCGGCCACATCAAAGACGCATGTCTCCTTAACCAGCCTGCTTAGGACTCTGTGCCTTTGGGACTGCCATGAGATGCTCTCAGGATCGGCCCCTCCCCTGCCTCCCCACCCACCCCACCCCACCCCAGCCAACTCCTACTCACCTTCCCACCACCTACTTGGGAAACTTATTCTAACAACCCTCGACCCCACCACTGTGCACTCAAGAATCTATTTATACACTTGGTATAATATATATGTATATATAAATATGTTAGCAATCTTAATACCAATGATTAATGTATCTGCCCCAAATCGAACTGTGAAATCCTTGACACTTGACACCGGTAGCTATGACTCCCAGCGTCTCCAGAGCCCAGACGCCGGCTGTGTTTGCGGACAGAATCAGTACACTAGAATCAGGAATGTGTTAGCAACATGAGGCAGATCACAAGATGAAGATGAGGAAATTGAAATTGGCATTAGCGCGATTTTTCACACAGTCATGCATAAGAACAGAAGGAAAGAAACGGCCGTCATTTCTTTTTTTTTTTTTTTTTTTATCCTCACCCGAGGATATTTTTCCATTTCTTGTACAGATAGAGTGGGAGGGAGAGAGAGGAAGGGAGAGAGAGAGAGAAACATCGATGTGAAGGGACACATCGAGCGGCTGCCACCCGCACGACCAACCAGGGCCGGGGACAAACTGCAACCGAAGTACGTGCCCTTAGCGGGAACCGAACCCGGGTCTCTCCGGACCGCAGGCTGACGCTCTAACCGCTGAGCCAAACCGGCCAGGGCCGTCATTTCTTTTGTATGGGATTGCTTCGTGACATCCTAAGGTTGTCCCCTTGCCAATCCAGTCTGTTTACCGTACTTCCTTCTAAAAAGGAAGTCAGATTATGTCAGAAGTCACCCCCCCAAACAAACAAATAAAAGTGACTTTTGATAACTCTTAGAATAAATTCAGAAATCCCTCCTATGGCCGATAGGGTCTTGCGTGATCTGCCCCTTGGCCCCTCTCCAACTGCATCTTCTACCACTTTATCCTCCCATTATTGTCATTGTCCTTGTCCTATTTTTCATCATAGCACATCCATGACATCCCTGCCCCAGGACCTTTGCACTTGCTATTCCCGCCACCTGGAAATACCTGTATGACTTATTTCTCCACTTCATTTCACCACTGCTCCAGAGAGATCTTCCCTGGCCTCCCCCTCTCTCTGTCATTTTCCATCCTGTCATGACAACTTTATTTTTCTTCATCCTATATGTATTTGTGTATTATTTAGAACTTCTATAAGTTTAAAATAATCAGGTATTTTGTCTGATTTGTTCAATGTTATATCTTGACATCTAGAACAGAGCCTGGTCCATAGCGGGGCATCCAACAAATGAATGACCTACAACCTTCCCAAGGTCAAAATAATAAATACCGAAAGGACCAGACTGTAAACATTTCTTGATTAAAAACCAGGCTTCCTCCTGCCATCGTGACTCTTGCTCTCCACAAAGAGTTGCGAGCGAGCGTACGGGCACACGGGCAGAGGTGCATTTCCAGGTGCAGAGCCAGATCCCTGCGCAGAAGAGCAGCCTGTGTACTTCTCACCGCGGCACGGACCTTGCGGGTTGCAGCTCTCAGAATGCTCCCTCGTGTCGCAGGGTCCGTGGGGACCCCAGCCACAGGGACTCCTTCAGGTGTCACCTCTCGTCTTTCTGGTTTCCGGCGCTGAAAATGACTGAACCAAAGGACCAAAGATCCGTAGACTCCTGTCTCTGCCGTAACATAGTTACTCCCTGGTGTCACAGATTTTAGAAGATTAGATTCAGCAAACGAACAAACAGAAAGGTTCTAAAGGAATCATGTTAGGCCATGTCCCCTAAATACCTGCGTTAGGATGACTTGGGTGCTCTGTTAGGAAAGTACAAGTTCTGGGCTCCATCCAGACCCAGGCCTGGGGTCTGGTCGTGCCCCCACTAAAGGGCTCCCTCAGTGATTCCAATGTATGTTCAAGTTTAAGAAACTCTACCCTAACCGGGGTTGCAACTTCCAACTGTGTCTCACTTAGCGAACACACACTAGATGGTTAGCGGGCATACTTTTTAAAGGCAAGTTTTGAATGTGGTATCGTTAGGGGTGAAGTGTCACGAAGCTGACAACGTCCTGTCAAATGATTCAGAAGACGACCTTGACGTCTCTCGACGTCTAGATTGATACGGCAAACATGGCAAAATGAGAGCACTTGCTGAGACTAGGGGGCTATTCTTATGTTGACTCTTCTTCCAACTTTTCCGTATGTTTGAAAATTTTCATAATTAGAAGTCGAAACAAACACAAGTTCTGATTCGCCCGGGGATTGTCCTCGCATACTGCAGGCAGAACGATAAACACAACAAGGCCAGGCCTGCAGGTAACGGTCTGGCCAGGTGCTCACCGGGAGGACCAAGCAGGCTTAGAGGACTTGTGAATTTTCCCTGAACTGGCTGGGAGGACAGCTCTCCCGCTCCCGCCCCGGGGGCCTGCGCGGGATGCTCTGACGAATCATCGTGATGCCCCAACTGAACTTCTCAGCTTGGGACTCCAGGCATCAGCAAAAATGTGTAGCTTCCAAATGCACTTGACATTGCTCAAGCACAACTCAATTGCTCTCAGAATCGGCCACTTGTGTCTCGGGAAGGAAAGGCAAATGAGGGGCCCCCCGAAGTGCTGTCCTTGGAATTTGCTCACACTCAAAGGGAGAGCGAAAGCCAGCCCTCGATGGCTTACAAAAAATAACACAAGAGCTTGCAACTTCTTTCCTCGACACGTGGGTTATCGGGCTCGTCCGGGCGCG